CTACTTTGTAGTCTAGTCCACTTTTGTAGTCTTTTGTAGTGTATCAGTAAAATTTGTAGTCTATGTCCGACTTTTGTAGTCTTATGTAGTCTATCAGTAAACTTTGTAGTTGAGTCCGACTTTTTTGTAGTCTATCAGTAAACTTGGTAGTCTATATCTGACCATTCCTTTTCTAGGGCATGCACCTTCCTTTTTTGGTCATTTTTCCCACAATACAATAGTTGTAGCCCTTTCTTTTAGCTTTCTAAATATACTGAAATCATATTGTTTGGTTTTGTTTTCATGGAGAAAAATGCAAAAAACAAAAAAAAACACGACACTTTTGGGATTCCTTTACCTCATATCTCCACAATGGGAGCACTTCAGAACATAATTCAAACAGATTCAGGAAGCTACAGTGTAGGGCTACAACTTTTGTTTTTGACCATTTTTGGTAATTGGTCATGTGACCATCATCCCAACATCCCATTACATGGACCCTGATAGGTAAAATCATTCTCCGCTTGGTTTTCTTCACTTTTTGGTCAAACCAGGTGATATTTCCCTTTTGGGATGGAACCTGAAGTGGACCCTGAAGGCAGTGCCTGATGTTCTGTACACCATTTTTATATATATTCAATTTTTCTGCTATTTTTCTGGCTATTTTTGGATATATTACCATATTTGGAACTGGATCCTGGACCCTGACAATGTTACCCAACATGATGATCAGCAATGAGCCCTAATTTTTCCTGATTTTATTGCTATTTTACATTTGGAAATGCACCCTGGACCCTGAAAGGTCAGCTGCCGCTAAAAATGAAATATTCATAGAAAGCGCCAGGTACACATATGAAAAGTGCAATGAAATCTCCTAGGAATAAGAATGAAATATCCATTGAAAGCGCCAGGCATCCAAATGAGAAGCACAATGAGATATCCTGGGTTTAGCAATGAAATATCCAATGAAAGCACCAGGTATATCTATGAGAAGTGCAATGAAATATCCTAGGAACAAGAATGAAATATCCATTGAAAGCGCCAGGCATTCAGATGAAAAGCACAATGAAATATCCTGGGGCTAACAATGAAATATCCAATGAAAGCGCCAGGTATCCATATGAAAATTGCAATGAAATATCCTGGGGTTGAGAATGAAATATATTGAAAGCGCCAGGTGTCCATATGAAAATCACAATGAAATATCCTGGGGTTGAGAATGAAATATATATTGAAAGCACCAGGTATCCATATGAAAATCGCAATGAAATATCCTAGAAAAATGAGATATGCGATCTCATTGAACCTCTAGGCATTATACACATTGCCCTCCAGGCATATGTCTGGTTTTTATCATAAAAGTGTATACCAACCATCGCCACTAAGCTCA